GATTTATTGCTTCTGAACAACAACCCTGTGTGGGTTTGTTCTATTCTGTTTGGTTTTTATTTTTAATACTCACTCCCAATCTTTTGTAATGACATTTTCTAAACTTATTTCTGAGTGTAGTCTCAGCTTACATTTGTGTGATACTAAAATCATGAGAAATCGCTATTTAAACAATAACAACAAAAATCTATTGTGGTATGCATTTGATTGACTTATCAAATGTTAAGGAAAAATATTCCACGTGAGTAAGTTTTGTTAAGTTTTATCATGGTATAATTGTAAAAATAAAAAATTAGAAGAGAAATTGTGAATACATCTTATATGAGTATTTGTCATAATCAAGATCCAAAAGGCAATTAAAGTGCTCTTAAGATATGATGTGTTTATTTAAATGTGGGCTCTTCTGTGTCAAATATTAAGTGAAATATAAACATTTTCTTGTTTTTAAAAACTAAAATAAATATAAATAAATGTGGGAGGGACCACCCTGGCCCAGTAGCTCAGTTGGAGCATCGTTCCTATACACCAAGGTTGTGGCTAGATTCCCCAAGCAGGGCACATGCAAGAAACAGCCAGTGAATGCATAAACAAGTAAAACAACAAATTCTCTCTCTCATCAATCCATCAGTTGAGTAAATGTGGGAGGAAATAATGCTACTTAGGTCTTTTTTTGCCTTAAAATACACATAAAATCTTTCATCTCAGCCTTTTGTTTTGTTTTGTTTTGTTTTGTTTTGTTAATCATTACCCCAGGTTATTTGTCCATTGATTTTTTTAGAGAGAGTGGAAGGGAGTGGAAGCGACAGAGAAAGAAACATCAATTGGTTGCCTCCCACACATGCCCAGTCCAGTACCAGGGATTGAGCCTGGAACCAAGTACATGCCCTTGACCGGAATAGAAACTGGAACCCTTCAGTCTGCAAGCTGATGCTCTATCCACTGAGCCAAACTGGCTAGGGCCATCTTCACCTTTTTTACGTGTTCCAGTCTCCAGAACTTTTTCATCTTTAAAGCTGAAACTCTGTACCTATTTAACAACTCCCCATTGCCTTCTCCCATCTGCGGCAGCCGCCATTCTGCTTTCTGTCTCACGGATTTGACTATTCTAGGTTCCTCGTATAGGTGGAATCATATAGGATCCTCTTTCTGTTTGATTAATTTCACTGAGCATTAAGTCCTCAGGATTCATTCATGCTGTAGCATGTGTCAGAATTTCTTTACTTTTTAAGGCCAAAAAAATCCCATTGTATGTATGTACCAAATTTTGTTTATATCTTTGTCCATTGATGGACACTGGGGTTACTTCCACCTTTTGGCTATTGTGAGTGATGCTGCTATGAATCTGGGTGTACAAATCTACTTTGAGAGCCTGCCTTCAATTCTTTTGGGTATATACTCAGAAATGGAGTTGCTAGATCATATGGTGTTTCTTTTTAAAATTTTTGAGGAACTGCAATGTTACTTTCCATAGCAGCTACTGCACTTCATATTCCCACCAACAGTGTACAGAAGTTGGAGAAATGTCTTTTCTGGTTCTTTTCCCATTTTTCAATTGTGTTTTTGTTGTTCTTTTGGGTGTGTTTTTTATTGTTGAATTGTAAGAATTCTTTAAATATTCTGGATATTAACCACTTATCAGTTCTTTTGGTGTCATATTCATGAAATTATTATTAAGTCCCATATTACAAAGCTTTCTTTCATTTTTTCTTCTAAGAGCTTTAGCTTAGGTTTACATCTTCTATCCATTTTCAATCAGTTTTTGTGTGTGGTGTAAGATGAGGGTCTAATTTCATTCTTTTGTAGATGAGTATACAGTTTTTCCCAGCACCATTTGTTGAAAAGACTCTCCTTCCCCACTGAATGGTCAAGAATTCATTTCTTGGATGAAATAAAGTACTATACACGAAGCACTTGATAGCATGCCTAGCTGTATCTTTAAAAAGTGATGGTCCCTCTCTTGCCCCCTTATTTGAGATGTGGTTTTTAACTACTGGAGTAGGTTTTTAATAATTATGAAAGACACTGCCTAAAGGTATTGACTCTGTGTGAGATTTTATTCCCAGGGCTTTACATATGTTAACTCACTGAATTGTCCTAACAACGCTATGGGGTAGGTGCTGTTGTTTTCACTAGTGTACAGTGAGGGAATTTGACGCTTAGAAGTTAAGTAACTTGCCTGCGTCACATATGTAGTAAGTGGTGGAGCCTGTATTCAAACCCGGGTAGTTTGGCTCCAGAATTTGTGGGCTAGTAAACGTAACATCTCCCGGTTTGTTGGTTTGTTTGTTTGTTTTTCTTTCGGCTGGGTGCATAGCAAGGTAGTACTCTCTTAGCCCTTTCCCTTCTTCAGGGGGTCTGAGATGGAAAGGGTGGGGTTCGGGAGATTCTCAGTGTGTTGGGGGATTGATCTGGGGTAAGGAGCCCCCAGCAGCTGAGGGCCCTCTTCTTCTTGTTGGGGCTGGTGGTCCAAGGGCTCTTACTCCTTGGAGGCCATGGGGACCATAAAGTCCACCAGATTCATTGTCAGACCAGGAAATGAGCTGACAAAGTGGTCATTCAGGACAATGCCAGCCCCAGCATTGAAGGTGGAAGAGTAGGTGTCACTGTTAAAATCATAGGAGACAGCCTGGTCCTCAGTATAGCCCAGGACATCCTTTTAAAATATATAGATATTTTGCCGGGACCGGTTTGGCTCAATGGATAAAGCGTCAGATTGGGGACTGAAGGGCTCCGGGTTCGATTCTGGTCAAGGGCATGTACCTTGGTTGCGGGCATATCCCCAGTAGGGGGTGTGCAAGAGGCAGCTGGTCGATGACTCTCTCTCATCGATGTTTCTAACTTTCTATCTCTCTCCCTTCCTCTCTGTACAAAAATCAATAAAATATATTTAAAAAATAAAATATATAGATATTTTATTGATTTTTTTGTTTTTACAGAGAGGAAGGGAGAGGGATAGAGAGTGAGAAACAGTGATGAGAGAGAAACATTGATCAACTGTCTCCTGCACACTCCCTACTGGGGATGTGCCCCCAACTGAGGTACATGCCCTTGACTGAAATCGAACCTGGGACCCTTCAGTATGCAGGCGAAGCTCTATCTACTGAGCCAAACCGGGCAAGGCACCCAGGATGTCCTTGAAGATTCCTCTGATACCTGTTTCATCACCTTCTTTTTTTATTTTATTTTATTTTATTTCAGACCAAGAAAGGGAGAGGGAAAGAGAGAAACAACAATGATGAGAGAGAATCACTGATTGGCTGCCTCCTGCACACCTCCTGCTATGGATCGAGCCTGCAACCCTCACCACCTTCTCAGCGTCATAGTATTCAGCCACTTTCTCTAGACAGCAGGTTATATCCATCACCAACACATTGGGGATGGGGAAGGCGATGCTAGAGGACTTCCTGTGCAGCTCAAGGATGACCTTGCCCACAGCCTCGCAGCACCAGTAGAAGCAGGGGTGATGTTCTGAGCAACCTCCTCAGCCATCACACAACAGCTTCCCAGAGGGGCCATCCACGGTCTTCCAGCTGACAGTGATGGCGAGGACCATGATCATGAGTCCCTCCTTGATGCCAAAGTTGTCATAGATGACCTTGGCCAGAGGCACCAAGCAGTTGGAGGTGCAGGAGGCATTGCTGACAATCTTGAGGGAGTTGTCATACTTGTCATGGTTCACATCCATCACAAACATGGGGCATCCGCAGGAGGACAGAGATGATGACCCTCTTGGCTGCCCTTCAAGTGAGCCCCGGCCTTCTCCAGGGTAGTGAAGTCACAGTGACTGCAACATATTTATCACCAGCATCGCCCCATTTGATGTTGGTGGGCTCTTACTACTGAAAGATGGGGATGGGTTTTCCACTGACGACAAACTTCCTCTTCTCAACCTTCACTGTGCCTTTGAATTTGCCATTGGTAAATCATGCTGGAGCATGTAGATCAAGTGTGTCAAACTCAAAGGCTAACATGGGCCAAATAAACAATGTTTAAATTTATGTGGGCCACAAAAAAATAAAAAGTTTCAATTTTCATAGAAATGTAGTCTATTTCAATAGACATGCTGAATACAAAGGGATGAAATAAAGAGTAATAGTTAACATAAAATAATAGAATATCTTAATAAAAATTAATGTTTTTCTTGAACATGAACTTACCAGACACTGAATAACTGCACAAATTAATAAATGTAACACAAATAAACCTATTCTTGTTCTCCAAAAGTGAAATATTTCCTGTTGCACATACCAAACAAGTCAGTCCAGGATTAATGACGTGGCATTCGGCTGCTAAAATATTTGCTGCTAGTATTAGTGGAGAGAAATGGTATGCCTGCGTGTAAGGCGCGGAAGGGAAATGAATGCAACAAGATTATAGTCATCAGTCATTAGCAAATGTTGTGGTTTGTTATTAACGATTATGTATAACAGGATATTGTAAAAATTAAGTTATGAAATTTTTATTAAAATGTTTCTTACATGGGTTATATTGGCTGGGCCACAAAAATGTCTGTTGTGGGCTGTATGCAGGCTGCAGGCTTTGAGTTTGACATACTTGCTGTAGATCACATAGTTGAGGCCAATGAAGGGGTTATTGATGGCAACTATCTGCTTTGCTAGAGTTAAAAGCGGAGCTGGTGACCAGGCGCCCAATGTGGCCAAATCAGTTTACTCTGACTTTCACCATCGTGTCTTGGGTTGTGGCTGCTGTGACCTGGCACTGCGCAGGAAGATGTGCCTGTCTGTTGAATGGGAGGAGTTGAGAGTTTTGGGTGATTTTTAACAGCTTAGAGCTTTTCTGCCTGGAGTTTGGTGAAAGGACAGTGTTATGACATTAGCCTCTGGGCTCAGATCTCTCTGTTGCTGGCTGTTCTCTTGTGAAACAGAACCTTAGAACTGCTCTGTTGACTCCGACCATCTGGGAGAATGTGGTGGTTCTGATTCCTGCCAGAACCCCTCATTCAGAAGAAATGTAAACCAGCGTTCTCTCTGACTTTACAGAAAAGGCAACAGATGGCTCCCTGCAAAGCGAAGACTGGACGCTGAACATGGAGATCTGCGACATTGTCAATGAGACAGAGGAAGGGTAGGTGCTCCCCTCACCTCCTGGGATGCTTGTCAGTTCCGGGTGTCACGCAAAGCCTGGCAGGGCTTAAGGATGTTGGGTGTTTTACTTTTTGTTTGGTTTTCAGTCTGTTTGCTTTAACATTTAATATGCTGACCTTTTTTAAATTGAGAAAGGGACGGGGAGGAAAACATTGATGTGAGAGAGATACATTGATCCATTTTCTCCTGTGCACGCCCCAACCGGGGATCAAACTGCAACCTGAGTATTTGCCCTAACCTGGAATTGAACCTGCGACCTTCTGGGACATGGAACAACACTCAAACCAACTGAGCCACACTGGCCCGGACAATATGCTAACACTCTTCAATTATCTTTCATCTTCCTATCCACTTTGCCCCCATTTCCCCAATGGCAGTGCTGAGTCAGAGCCCTGGCAACCTCTTTTAATAACCTGCCTTCACTCATAAGTGAAAATGAAGTTGCTTGGTTACTTGGTTCCCGGTAGTTGTTGGTCTCCATAGCCAGGCTATCGCCTCTGTCCCCGTTCCTTCTCAACCTCTGCCTTCCCTTCACAGATGTGAGGCTGTCTCTGCCATGTTTTCCTGGGCTGGGGCCCCAGGAGTCAGAGAGAGTGCCCACAGAGCAGCCTGGTGTTTCCGCAGTGGGTATCCCTGAGCTACTGAGTCTGTGCTTATTGTTATGCATGATATAGGCTCTTCTACTTCATAGCTGCATTCTAGTTACACTTCTTCCAAAGTAGTCTATATTTGGCCCTCCGCCACACCATACAAATGGAATTTATTATTGCTATTTCGCCTTGAACTGTCTCCAAAGTGGTAGGAGAATAGTCAGTCACCCCCAGGTAGTCCTTCTGAGGGTGAGTTTTCATTGTGGCTCCAGGGAGGGGCCTGCTGGCTGCTTCCCCCGGCACATCCCCCGCTGGGAGCTCAGGGAGCGCAGCCTGGAGCTTGTTCCCAGTCCTCTGCTCTATGGCAGATCAGGAGAGGAGTGAGACTGACTGAGAGGTGGCTGCCATGGCCAGGGCTCACTGAGCTGACAGAGCCCTGGAGAGAGGAAGCCACTCCATGCTGCTGGCCAGTAGCTGTGGACCTTCACCCGCTCAAGTCCACAAGCAGCCCTCGAAGCTGAGAGCTTGTCAAGTCCCACGTTTGCAGAAATCAGCATTCCTGTGTGGAGGCAGCCATACTGCAAACACTTGCAAGGACACATTCCCCAGAGAGCCTTGTCTCATCAGCCCTTGGACTCAGAGCCAAGGCTTCCTGCAGGCAGCCATTTTTCAAGTTGGGAAGGGAAAATAGGTCTCAGGTATTTTTAAATTTCTTCATTCTTTCCACATTGATTCATTTTAGAGAGATTAGAAGGGAAGGAAGGAGGGAGAGGAACATCTTTATCTGAGAGATACATTGATTAGTTGCTTTCCGTACATGCACCCTGACAGGGGCAGGGGCATCAAACCTGCAACCCAGGTATGTGCCCTTGACCGGGAATTGAACCCGTGACCCTTCGAGCTGACACTCTAACCTCTGAGCCACACCGGCCAGGGCTTTACATTTCTTCTTGAAGCCTTGCCTTGCTGTGTTTCTGTTTAAATAGGAATGATTAGCCGAGCTTCCACACCCCCGTCCCCTATACACAAATTAAAGGACTTTTTCATTTGGTAAATAGATCATAAATATTTCAGGAGGAATAGAAGGTTTCTGACTTACCAACCTTCAACTTTGGAAAGATCAGATATATTGACATGTGCATCTGTAGAAGGCTGGTGCCACTATGAGAGCAAAAGGCAGGCCTACAGCTGGTCAGGTGATGGGGCTTGCCAGGGCCAGCCAGCAGGGGCTCCATGCCGGAAGTGCCTCCTAGGTCCACACCTTTGTTTAATCCTGACATAGAGTAAATTAAATAACAGGCCAGACATAAGGACTGTATTTGTTAGGGGGCTGCTGGGGACTCTACTCCAATTTCCAACAGTGACTTAAGGAAGAATGTGTTTCAAGTTCCAAATAATGAATTGATAGATGAGCTTTTGAATAGGCCTTGTACTCAGGGGCCTGCCTGTAATTCTGTGAGATTCTCTGGGAATCCATAGCAGATCCCTTACCTAAAAGCACACAGTTCTTTGGGTTTTGAGGAGACTAAAGTTTTCTTTTAAAGTTTTCTCAGGGAAAAAGAGGTTCCATGGAACTGGGGAGGAGCTGAACCCCAGGCCAATGCCAGGGCCTGGCCATTCTCTCTCTGTGGTCTCCTCAGTGGGCATGGGTGCACTGCAGAGAGAGAAAAAAAAGCAGCCCACTTTTTGTTTGGACAAATACCTGTATGTGATACAAAAGTCAAAAGGGCTGCAAATAGACAAAGTGAAAAACCTCCCTGTCCCCTCTGTCCCCCAGTTCCCTCGGAAGGGGCAGCCGAAGTTAGCAGCTTCTGTGGCTCTTTCAGCATGTGCCCTGTGTCTGCGTCTGTGTCTGTGGTCCTCGGGTAACTCACTCAGGAGCACATCCTATGCACTGCTCTGCAGATGACTCTTCACACGGTCTGCTCCGTGGCGATGCACAGGAGCGTGTTCTTTGTGCAGTGGCATAGTGCTCCATTATGTGGATACACAGGCTTTGTTTAGTTTGTTTCCAGCCTTTTACAGTTATAAACATGCTACAGCAAATTACCCTGTAGAATGCTAGTTCATAAATGGCAGTGAATCTGTGGGACAGTGTCCCAAAATGTAATTTTTAAGGATCTTAATATGTCCTTTTCTCCAGGCCAAAGGATGCCATTCGAGCACTGAAGAAGCGACTAAACGGGAACCGGAACTACAGAGAAGTGATGCTGGCATTAACAGTGAGTACTGTCCACGGCGGACGGGAAAGCACCTTGTAAAGTCCATGCTCCCGACCTTGCCTCACTCTCAGGCCTTTCCCTCTGTCCACTCAGCACAGCCTCCGATGTGTGCCATTGAGGGCATGGAGTGTGCGCCACGGGGGTCAGGGGAGCGTTCCCATAGCACCCTTGGGTGCCAGTTTCCTGTATAAACTGCTGACTTCCACCCCAGAACCTGCCCTGCTGCTGAGCTTTTCAGATGTTAATGCAAATGTTTGCAATAACCTTCCCAAACAGGTTTCATCATCTCCCTCACTGGGATGGAAACACCGAGGCTCAGAGAGGTCTAGGGATTTACCCAGACTTCACAGCTAGTGAGGAAGCCAGCTGTGGATTCTGGAGTAAAAAGTGATCACCCCTGGGAGGTTCTTGAAAAAGTCAGTCAACGGACTCCTGTCAAGAAGAAACAGACAGATTTCTGCCCTTCCTTAATATGTCAGAAAATTAAAAGGGACAACTTCCCATGTGACTTCTGTCTTAGAAGCTGAAAAAATCTGGGCCACAGTGAAAAAATTCTTAAAAAAAAAAACTTTTTAAATTATAGTTGACATATAATATTATTTTAGTTTCAGGTGTACAACCAGTGATTAGACATTTATATAACTTTCAAAGTTATCACCTGGATAAATCTAGTACTCATCTGATACCATATATAGTCACTACAATATTATTGCCTATATTCCCTATGCTGCACTTTACCTCCCCAGGCCTATTTTATAACTACACCTTTTTCACCCATTCCCCAACACCCCTGCTGCCTCCAATCTGGCATCTATCAGAATGTTTTTGTATCTATGAGTCTATTTTTGTTCTGCTTGTTTTTATTTTTATTTTTGAGACTCCATATATAAGTGAAAACTATGGAATTTGTCTTTCTCTGTCTGACTTTATTCAACACAATACCCTCTAGGTCCATCCATGTTTATACAAATGGCAAGATTTCATTCTTTTTCATGGCTAAGTCATATTCTGTTATATATATATATATGCACCACTTTTTCTTTATCTGTTCATCTATTGATGGACACTTAGGTTGCTTCCATTTTTTGGCTGTCCTATATAATAAAAGGCTAATATGCAAATTGAACGGCAGAATGCCTGATCACTATGATACGCACTGACCACCAGGAGGCAGATGCTCAATGAAGGAGCTGCCCCCGGTGGTCAGTACACTCATCCAGAAGCTGGGCTCACGGCTGGTAAGCATAGCAGCAGTGGCAAGAGCCTCTCCTGCCTCTGTGGCAGTGCTAAGGAAGTCTGACTGCCAGGGCATGGGCCTAAGCCATCAGTTGGACTCCCCCGAGGGCTCCCAGACTGTGAGAGGGTGTAGGCCGGGCTGAGGGGACCACCCCCCCCCCGCGCCTGAGTGCACAAATTTTGTGCACCAGGCCTCTAGTTGTAAATAATACTGCAATAGACATATGGATGCATATGTCTTTTTCAATTTAGTGTTCTGTATTTCTTCATATAAACATCCAGAAGTGGAATTGCTGGATCCTTCTTTGTCTCTTATTATAGCTTTTGTTTTAAAGTCTATTTTGTCTGGTACAAGTATTGCTACCTCAGCTTTTTGTTTATTTGTTTTCATGAAATATCTCCCATCCCTTTACTTTAAGTTTGTGTATGTATCTTTTAATGTGAAGTGAGTCTCTTGTACACAGCATATGTAAGGGTCTTGTTTTGTTATCCATTCAGTCACTTTGGTTTTTTTTTATTGGAGCTTTTAAAGTAATTATTGATAGATATGTATTTATTGCCATTTTATGATTCATATTTTTTTTATCTCCTTCCTTCATTCCTTCCTTCATTTCTTATGATGCTAGTTTGGTGGTGATTAACTCCTTAAGAATTTTCTTGTTTGTGAAGCTCTTTATCTGACCTTCAATTCTAAATGATAGCTTTGCTGAGTAGAGTAACATTGGTTATAGGTCCTTGCTTTTTGTCCCTTTGAATATTTCCTGCCAATTCCTTCTGGCCTGAAAAGTTTCTGTTGAGAAATAAGTTCAGAGTCTTATGGGCACTCCTTTGTAGGTTACTGACTGTTTTTCTCTTCTTTTAAGATTCTTTCTTTGTCTTTAACCTTTGTCATTTTAATTATGATGTGTCTTAGTGTGGATCTCCTTGGGTTCATCTTATTTGGGACTCTCTGTGCTTCCTAAAATGCATATCTTTTTCCTTCACCAAGTTAGGGAAATTTTTTGTTATAATTTTTTTAAACAGGTTTTCATTTTCTTGCTCTCTCTTTTCTCCTCTGGCACCTCCATTATGTGAATGTTGGTACTTTTGATATTGTCCAAGAAATCCCTTAAGCTATCCTCATTTTTTAAAATTCCTTTTTCTTTTTGTTTTTCTGATTCGATGTTTTTCTGCTACCTTATGTTCCAAATCGCTGATTCTTTCCTCTACTTTATCTACCAAACTGTTGATTCCTCCTAATATATTCTTCATTTCATTTATGTAATTTTTCATTTATGATAGGTCCTTTTTTATGTTTTCTACATCCATTTTTATGTTTCCTATCTCTTTGTTGAAGTTCCCACCAAGTTCCTCTACTTTCTCCCTAAGTTCATTGAGCATCCTTATAACAAGTGTTTTGAACTCTGCATCTGGTAGATTGCTTGTCTCCATTTATTTTGTTTATTTTCTGGAATAGTGTCCTGTTCTTTCATTTGGGACATGTTTCTTTGTCTCTTCATTTTGGCTGCCTCCCTGAGTTTGTTTCTATCTATTAAGTAGAATTGCTACATCTCCAGAATTTTTGAGTGGCCTATGTAGTAGGTGTTCTGTAGGGCCCAGTGGCACAGCCTCCCTCCTCACCTGAGCTGGGTGCACCCTCCTGTTGTAGTTGAGCCTTGACTGCTGTTGGAATGTCAGTGAGAGAGATTGATCCATAGGTCCTTTGGTTGTGAGGGCCAGCTGTGTCCACAGAAGAGAATCAACAGTGCAGGGGCCAACCCCATGGAGCAGAACTCATTTGAACGGGGCTCAGATACTCACTGAGTCCACCCCTTGAATGTGTCATTAGTGGAGTCAGTGCTTCCATTTTATCTGAAGCTGTCCACCACATGCAGTGGCTCTTGGGCCTTTAGGAAGGTGCAGGCCAAGGTCAGCCACCATCTGTGACCTGCCTGAGGCCATCTGGCATGAGCTACAAAGCTATCTTCAGATGGCTTGGAGGTACCCAGGAGAGGCTAAGTTATGGACCAAGGCTGGCTGCTGCTAGTGCTGGGCCTGGGGCCACTTAGCAAGAGATGTGGGGCTTGCTGAGACCAGATGCTACTTGTTTACAAGATTTTAAGAAGGTCAGCAACATGAGCCAAGATAGTCTCTTGGTATGGAAAATCCACTGGAAATGCTTGGGGGGACCCCAAAGTTGAGTGGGGTGGGGGTCTGAGGAAATCACCAGGATGGGGTGAACAGTTAGCCAAGTTGATGGAAACTCTGATATGGAACCGGTCTTCTGGTCTGGAGAGTGGGAGGGGTGCTCAGCAAAGGAACAGTTGTCTCTGTCAGCACTTGTCTGGGAGAACTCGGCCCCTTTGGCCCTTGCCCTGACGCCAATAATTCAATTCCTCCCTATGTGTCCCTGGCGCCCCTACTCCGGAGCTCAAAGGGAGTGAGTCTGAGTAAATCTGTTTGGGCCCTTTAAGAGGAACATCTGGGATTCCAGCAGCCTCCATGTGACTCAGCCACAATCCCTGATGGTTTTGATAGTGAAAAGTTATAGGGGCTTCTCTTCCCGGCACCTGGACTGCAGGGCCTGGTGTGGGGCTGGGACACCTGGCTCCTAAGGGGAGACTGAAACTGGGTGTGGGACCTGCCCAGTCTGCATCTCCACTCCCCCTCAAACCTTGATGTGGCTTCTTTATATCCTTAGTTATAGAACTTGTGTTCAGTTGGGTTTCAGGCATTCTGAATGATGGTTGTTCTTTAGTTGTAATTTTGATGTGGTTGTGGAGGTTCCTGGTACCCCATTTACCTACATGCTCTCTTGACTAGAGACCATCTAAGGTAGTGGTTCTCAACCTTTCTAATGCTACAACCCTTTAATACAGTTCCTCATGTTGTGGTGACCCCAACCATAAAATTATTTTCATTGCTACTTCATAACTGTAATTTTGCTACTGATATGAATCATAATGTAAATATCTATGTTTTCCAATGTTCTTAGGCAACTCTGCCAGCAGTTCTCAACCTGTGGGTCATGTAACTGTAGCAGGATTATTCACAATAGCCAGTAGTCAGCACTGGGCTTCTCTTTTTTAAATATATTTTTTATTAATTTCAGAGAGAAAGGGGGCGGGGGGAGAGAGAGGGGGGGGAGGGAGGGAAGGAGGGAGGGAAGGAGGGAGAGGGAGGGAGAGAGAGAGACATCAATGATGAGAGAAAACCATTGATATTGGCTGTCTCCTGCACACTCCCCAGTGGGGATCAAGCCCACAACCTGGCCAATGTGCCCTTGACTAGAATCAAACCCAGGACCCTTCAATTTGCAGGTGGACTCTATCCACTGAGCCAAACCAGCTACAGCAGCACTGGGCTTCTCTGTAGGCTTGAACAGTTTTTTATTTGTCCAGAACTGCTGTCACATGTTTCCTTCTAAAACAGAGAAACTGTTTAGATTTTTTGCCCAAGTGAAAACCCAAGACTTTAGGAATGTTCTTTCTTCCAGGGAATTGGGATTTGAATGATAAAGACCATTGAGAAATAGGAAGTTGAAAGTTCTGGGTTTTTTCTCAGAAGTTGAGCCATGTCATTCATTAAATCCAGAGCTTGCCTAAAATGAACTGTTTCCAGTAACTAATCACCAGGTAGTCACTCTAACGTGCCAGGACAGTCCTATCCTTTATGTGCCCAACTTAATGGGAACCCCACTGAGTGGAAATCTTCCTAAAGTGGCCTCTGCCTTCATCTCCTTCCTGCAGCAGAACAGCTGAGCGTTGTCTAACCTTTCCTGACGG